TTCCTGGGAACAACACTTATTCAGGTAATTCTTTTGAGGTATGTCTACCCCATTCCTCATGGGGAGGGCAGAGAACATCATAATACTCTCAACTCTTATGAATCCCCTCCTATAATTCTCCCTTAATGAACCTGGATGCATTTCTTCCATAGGCTATTGGGTTTAAGGCTGGCCACTTGGACACCTCTAAGTGGCAATGTATTGAGCCTTTCTTGAGATGCAAATCACCCATGGCATGTGACTTTGAGACTTTATTCAAAATGTAGGCAACTGAAAAGTCTATTCTACATCTTATAAATGCAGATGAGATGAGGATAATGACTTGCTTGGGAAAATACATCAATCAATGGTAGAATGGAAAATAAACTCCAGCTTCTTTCAGTTTCCTGTTAAAGGCTAGTGCCTGCAATCCGACATTTTCCTGACCAATTTTCTAACTGTGCTAACCCTGGTTAATACAAAACACTTCCTGACCAGAAGCCTGTGAAACCATTTCCAAATTTCCTCTCATCCCATGTGTATCTAACCCACATCAGTTTCCTTCTTACGGTGCTTTCACACAGAATTCTAACTGCATTAAATTGGTTAATCCCTGAGTTGTTTGTGGTTGCTTTTTTTTAAACAATATTTTGCACATAATAAAAGCTTTGATTTGAAATGCTGATTGATTCATGTTCCCTTATTTTTATCATACACATAACTACATATCTTTTATGTATAATCACGATAAATATTTTCAACCTTAGATAATTTGTCACAGATCTAAATGAGAAAAGGTTGTGCTAAAGATTGAATTAGTTTTATTTTTATTTCTCATTATTTTCACCTTCAGTGCAGATGGATAAAAACAGTAGCATTTTGCCTGGTGCGATGGTGCATGCCTGGAATCCCAACAGCTCAGGAGTGAGGCAGAGGATCATTGTGAGTTCAAAGCTAGCCTCAGCAATTTAGTGAGGCCCTAAACAACTCAGGAAGACCCTGTCTCTAAATAAAATATAAAAAGTGCTGTGGTGTGGCTCAGTGGTTAAGTACCCCTGGCCTCAATCCCCAGTACCTGCCTCCTCCCCCCTCGCCAAAAAAAGTAGCAGTTTTAGGTGAAAAGTGTCTCCTTCCTCAGACTTTTTGTCTGAAAGTAGATTCTCACCAGAATGCTTATCACATTCACTCCTGGGGATAAAATGCTGTTGAACACTTGTGTTGAACACATGTCCATTAAAACAAAACAAAACCAAAAAAAAGAAACAACAACCACAAAAACTTTTGTGTCCTTTAGAAGGATAGTTGAGAAGACAGAATATTTTCTTAACAAATCTTTAGTTTGTGTCCATTTCTTTACAAAGAAAGCGGTAATCAGATGCTGTTGAAAAAAATGTCCTCAGCACCTGGGAACATGGAATTAATGAGATAAGGATGTTGGGGAAAGCCACCAGCAGGAGCAGGTGAGCTATCTGGCAACAAAGACCCTGATGGGACCTAAACATAAGCACAAAGGAAGTTTGTCTTGGTAGGTCTTTTTTATTTTATTTTTTTTTCCTTTCTGCTTCTGTGTTAGTTTTTTCTTTGTACTTGTAGATGGTCTAGATAGCCTATCCTGTAAAGCAGCCGGCTGGGGAGAAGAAAGATGGCCTGCCATGACATCAAAACCTGGGTTTGAATCCTCACCCAGCTAATAATTGCCATGAACATGTTGCCTAAATTCTGAATCTCAATTTCCTCATTGACAACACAAATGCAGTAATAGCTGCTTTCTTTGCATGAAAAAAATTTCAAGATATGTTACATAAGATGACCGAGATTCACAAAAGTGATTTGAACACTTTTAAACCCTACACAACTAAGTCTGTTTTGGGGAAATGCACAGGGACAAGCTGTTAGAAAACAGGAAGCAAGCCAGATCTGTGGCACAAGCCTATAATCCCAGCAGCTCAGGAGGCTTAGACAGGAGGATCTTGAGCCAGTCTCAGCAATTTATTGAGGCCTGAAGCAACTCAGTGAGACCTTGCTTCTAAATAAAATATTAAAAAGGACTGGGGATTTTGCTCAGCAGTTAAGCACTTCTGGGCTCAATCCCTAGTACCGGAAAACAAACAGAGCAAATTACTGCTGCAGTCAAATGGTGCTGAGCTTTTGTTCCCAGGCCACATGCTTGGCTTCCTATGATCCTGAGAATAGAGATGAGCATATCCTTTATTGTGGCCTACAGGGCACCACAAGGTCTGGCTCCTTCCTACATCACTAGTCTCATCCTATACTTTTTTTTTTTTTTTCTCTTCATCCGGAACTGCTCTCCACTATTTTACCTTTTAAAATTACCTCTTCCTGGGCTGGGGTTGTGGCTCAGTGGTAGAACGCTGGCCTAGCATGTGTGAGGCACTGGGTTTGATCCTCAGCACCACATATAAATAAATAAAATAAAGGTCCATGGGCAATAAAAAAAAAAATTACCTCTTCCTTAGGGAGCTTGCTCATGATTCCCTAAGTCTGGTTCCTCCAATTACATGATCTGATAGAACCATATACCTTTTGAACTTTGTGAAATTTGTTAACAGTTATAATTTACACTTATTTGAGTGATTTTACATTAATATCTGCCTCCCCTGATTGCCCAAATGAGGAGCAGAAATTCATTTTGTCTTATTTACTATTTCATTCTTGGTTTCCAATATAGTTCCTGGTACATGGTAGATTCTGAATACACATTTATTAAATGAGAGAATAAATGATCAGATGGGTGAGTGATAGTCCCTTCTTGTAGACACTGTAGGGACAGAAGGAGATTTGAATCTTGTTCCTCATTGAAACTTGGCCCAAAGAGCTTTGTCACTATTGAGAAGGGGTAGCTAAAAAAAAAAAAAAAAAAAAAAAAAACAGGCATTAAAAGCAGTTTTCTGACTTACCTGGGAAGGCCAGAATAATCCTTGATGCAGACTGGCCTTTGTCCTGAGAGGTGTATTTATCTGGGATATCTGGATTTTTAAGAAAAAATTTATCTATCTATTTATTTATTTATTTTTGGTACCAGGCATTGAACCCAGGGGTGCTGAGCCACATTACTAGCCCTTTATATTTTTTATTTAGATACAGGGTCTTGCTACGTTGCTGAGGCTGGCTTTGAACTTGTGATCCTCCTGCCTTAGCCTCTGGAGTTGCTGGGATTACTGGTGTTTGCCACCATGCCTGGCTCTGGATTTGTATATGTCAAGTGGATGCATACCAATGAACATACTAAAGGAAAAAAACCTTTCCGGAGAAAATATGAATCCCAGAGAAACCTGCTCTGGGTAGAAAGTTAAAAATTGCTGAATATAAAGTTGTACTTCTGCAGACTCTATTTCCTCAGGGGAAAAAGGTGGTACTTTTCTAAGGAGGATACTGACGTGGACTACTTAGGCAAATTTGTTTGTGTGTGTACTCCTTCTTGAGTAGTGGCTATCTCATGGTGCTGAAGCTATTTTATTGAGAGGCAAGAGACATCATGACGCTTCAGTTCCAGCTGGGGAAGGGAAGTCTCCTATTTCTGTATGGAATCCAGTGTGTGCCTGAACCTAGAGAAATGACCTATTTGGAGACTTTGGGAATCATCACCCTTAACTAAATTGTTGGCAGGGTCACTGGTGACTCTTCTTCATCTGATTATGGGAGTGGGAGTGGGAGTGGGGTAGTGAGGGGAGCAGGGTGGATATGCAGGGTGATTGCAGTAGACAGGTTTAGGAGCAACAGGAGGCTCCTCCTGTAGGACCTGCAGAAATACTCCAGGAGGCCCCAGAGTCGGGCAGTCAGGAAAGAGCCCATCTGTGCAGGTGGGAAAGAACAAGAACTGGGATTATTGTTAGGAAAGGGACTTCATTTATAGCCACAGCTTGGGTAGGTCTGTTAACATTGAGTTAAATTTTAAGGGGTTTATAAAGTGATTTTGCATATGTTAAATATATTTTCAAGAAGCTGATAAATGTGTGATAATACATATCCACATTGGCTAGGAATGGGCACAGTCACCCTCTGGTAAACAGTTTGTCCCAATGTACGCAAGACTTTTCTCATTTTAGCAGTGGAATTACAAAGTCCTAGGAAAATCAGAAGGATTGGTCACCCTGTCTCTCACTTACTCTGGTTATTACCTTCAAAAGAGGATAACAGCAGAGTACTCATAAAGGCGTCACAATGTAGCAGAAACCAGGATCCTTCCAAGAGGCATAGCCACCTCTTAAATATCCATTGTATCCTGTGAAACTGGAAGCATTCAGACCCACAGCCAGAAAGCAGAAGGCCCAACAGTCCCAGCCCAGGGGAGGCTACCATCTCCCCTCTAGGATATTAAGAATCTATAAGACAGCAAAAGTCTATTGTGAATATCCCTTTTAAACTGTGCCCTGAGAAAGATTTTTATCCTAAGGTGCTATATGGGTCAAAAATTTATTTTTCTTTGTTAAAGCACTTTTGTCATCTTTTCAAGCTATATACACGTGCCTCTTCACACTAGGTTTTTCTGTGATGGATGTAACTTTGTAATATATTTTCTTTAGTAATAAAAGGATCAAACATATAATTAATGAATTTGAAAGCATAGTTTTTGGTACCGTGGATTGAAGCCTGGGGCACTTTACCATTGAGCCACATCCCCAGCCCTTTTTGAGATAGGATCTCTCTAAATTGTTGAGAGCCTGGTTAAGTTGCTGAAGCTGGCCTCAAAGTTGTAATCCTCCTGCTTCACGATCCCAAATTGCTGGGATAACAGGCATATGCCATTGTGCTCTGTTGAAAGCACTTTCATATAAATAAACTCTCAAAATGAGATAAACATGTTTGTTAGACACTGTACCTTTAATTTTTCATTCTGAAATGAAGATCACTGTATCACCAAGATAATCAAGTTCTCAACAGATGGGATGGCAACCTTCCCCCAAAAGTAGGTGAGCAAAAAAGAAGTGATAAAGGATAAGGAAGAGAAGGGTTTCTACTGACATTTCTTTATTGCAGAGATTCCTTGGCAGACGCCAGTCCTAGATGAGCAGGTTCATAGGTCTTGGGGTGAGGTGGAAGGAGCCATCAAATTCCTCTGGTAGAGTGCAGGATGGTGGGGCTGTGGGATGGGCCATCCACGGAGAAGGCACATCTTCTTTTCCCAGGCACACGGAGAAGATGAGGATTAGTCCACCAAGAGCCAGGAAAATACCAGCAGCCCAGCCCAGGTAGAGGGCATCTCCAAACTCCCACCGTGGTACAATCTCAGGGATACTGTCATCCCAGAAGTCTCGGATTGTGGCGTAGGCCACCCAGGAGACTGGAAAAAGGGTAGTGGCTGAAGCTGATGCTTCCAAGGATCCTCCCAAGAGGCATAGCCGCCTCTTAAATATCCAATGTATCCTGTGAAACTGGAAGCATTCAGACCCACAGCCAGAAAGCAGAAGGCCCAACAGTCCCAGCCCATGGGAGGCTACCATGAGGATGCGGGACACCTGGAGCTCCTGGGGCAGAGACAAGAAGGACTCAAAGCCTTTGCACACCGTGCCAACTTCCTCCTGATTCACACAGGCCTCCCAAAGCCCCATAATCCAGGTCTCCATTTCGTTCAATTCCAGATTGAGAGTCTTCCACTGGGGCAGGATTGTGGTGACACAGGAGCAGACCCAGCCAAGGAAAGAGAGAAGCAGTCCCCCAAGCTGGACTCTCCCACGGAAACTCCAGGCCATAGTTGTTTCCTCTCCAGAGGCAGAGGAGTATGAGTGCCTCAGGGACTCCTTGGCAGGGACTATTTTTAGGAGACTGGGGTGGAAAGTCTTGCACATTTGTAGAGGGTTCCTGTATTAGTTTTCTAGGCAGCAGCTGAGGCAGGTGTCAGGAACTTGGCAATGTTTGGGTTTAGGGGGTGTGTCCAGGATAGGATGTAGGTGTGGATTCTGGCGGAGGGTCTCATGAAAGGTAAAAAGCCATATGGCAAGCCATCAATAGTTCATAAACTTAAAATCACTCCCCATCTCTGAGATCTCAAGAAAAATGTTCTGGGGATATACATTGATTTAATCTTTTTTGGAAGGCAATAGGACTTCATGTTTTATAGTTTTAAATATGTGCAAACTTTGATCCAGCACCCTATCTCTAGGAATTTATCTAGTTTTTTTGGTGAACATATACAAATAATTATGAAATGTCTGTTGAAAGGTTGTTAATAATGGTAAATTTTAATACCAGGCAGTCATTTTAAAGTGATGCTATAAAAGAGATTTTAATGACATGAAAAGGATTTTTAATGTTGTTGTTGTTGTTTTTCTTTATTTTACACATTTTAATTAAATGGATATTTTGTGATTAAGAAAACTTGTAACATAGGTTTCTGTAGTGCTAACAATTGCTTTTTATAATTGGCTTGGTCTCTCAGCACCAGCAACTCCATGGAAGTCCATCTGGTGGCATCACTGTGTTTTTTTTTTTTTTTTTTTTTATTTAAAAAATATTTTTTCATTTTTTCTTTTTAGTTATATATGACTGCAGAATGTATTTCGACATATCACCCATTCATGTTGTTAACTGAGGAAAACAGATGACCAATAGTATATAATCATACAGAATGCAATTTCATTTTTATAAAAAGGGTATATGTGTATATGTAAGACACATGATATGTATGTGTGTGTTTATCAGATAAAAAGTTAACCCTGCTTATATTGATAGTAGGATTATGGATAGCTTTTTATTTATTTGTGCTTTTCTATGTATTATTTAATGAATTTATCATTTAATTTTTTTTGTACTAGTGATTGAACCCAGGGGCACTTAACCACTGAGTCACATTCCCAGCCCTTCTTATCTATTTATTTATTTATTTTTGGTACTGGTAATTGAACTCAGGAGCTCTTGACCACTGAGCCATTATGCCTGGCTCATTTAATATTTTTGTAAACAGAAAGCCCACAAATATTGTCATTTAAAAAATTAGAATTTTCCTAGTTCAAGTTATCTACCTAGACACACCTGAAGGGAAGTGCTTCCTTCCCAGGGGGCTGCAGCTGCAGCTGCTCCTGCTAGGAAGCCTGCTATAAACAGATGGTAATCATACCAGCTTCCATTCTTGCTTGTTGTTGCTGCCAAGTAGCAGGATTGAAGAGGAAAGGAAATAATATGCATTTACTCAGTTTGACTAAATGCCAGACTTAGGTCTGGATGCTTTATCTGTATTTCATTTTCACACTGCCACCATATAGCCTCATTAGATAACTGCAAATTCTGGTTAGCAGGCAATAAGATACCACACCTGAAGCAGAGGGCTTGGACTTTGGAAGTTTCATGTTCTTGCCTCCAGCTGCAGTGGTGATTTTTCTGCCCTTCCCCTGCCTACTGGTGAAACAGCATGTTGGTGTTAGTCTTTATGGCAAAACAGAAGAAAACCAGGATTTATTTTACTGAAGTCACAAATGTCTGACCAATTGTGTTCCCCTCATGGTTTAGCCTACTTCACACAATACACTAAATATGGAGTGAAAGCACAGGTGTGGGCAGCCAGCAGAGTGAAAGCACCTCATGAGAAAGGAAGGTTTTGACTTTTCCTAACTGAGGCCTTGAGGTAGTCTGGTATGCCAGTGATTGTCAATGGCCCAGGGTAGGGAGGCAAGCAGCAGCATCTGGAGTGCTCTTTTTTATGTTTTCATAAAATTTAAAACATATGCAAAAGTAGAAAAATGGATAAATCCCATATCTTACCCAGCCTCAAAAATTATCTGCTCTTAACAGTTTTGTTTCATCCATATTCACACTCTTCCCCACCAAAGAATTGTATGTGCATGGTGCTAGGGATTGAACTCAGGGTCTCATGTATGCTCTGCAAGCACTCTACCACTAAGCTATATCTCCAGCCCCCAAAGTGACTATTTTGAAATACATAGTATGTCTTTTCAAATTTTAGCCTCCTTCTGTTGTTTTTTTAATAACATGCAAACTTGGAAATGTTCTCTGCTTGTACTATTCATGGCAAGAGTTGTTTGATACTTTCCTTCCATAATACAGATAAGTCACATATGTGTGAACCATGATAGATTGGGAGGAATCCTAACATTGCTCCTGATTTTTCTGCTGTTTTCTGATGATCTGTGAAAATTTGTGAATAAGGAGACCTATAAACCCATGATAAACGTGAACTAGTAAGAAGTCAGTGTGTTAGATCTTCGCCACTGTGACAAATACATGAGGAAACAACTTAGATGAGGAAAGATTTTGGCTCATCATTTCAGGCCATGATTGGCTGGCTCCATTGCTTTGGCCTGAGGTGAGGCAGAATTTCATGGTAAAAGGATGTGGTGGAGAAAGGCTATTCAGTAGTGGCACCCAGGAAGGAGATGGAGAGAGAAGGAGAGAACAGGGACAAGATACAGTCCCTGGGGGCATGCCCAAGGACTTACTCTTTTCCTAGGTCCCACCTCTTACACTTTTCATGACTTCCCAATAGTCCATTCAGCTATCAATGGATTAACCCACTGATGGGGCCAGAGCCCCATTGATCCAGTTATTTCCAAAAGTCCCACTTCAAAACTTTGCTGCATTGGGGACCAAGACTTGAACACATGAATCTTTGGGGGACACTTTGTATCCCAAACCATAACAGTAAGGTGACAGAAAAAAAAAACCCATTCATTTATTATTATTATTTTTATTTATTCAAGCATTCATTTATTCCTGCATACACTGATTGTGCATAGCAATCCTTATCCATTCTGTGTGCTTTTTGTTCTTCCTCTGGCTCTGGCTTCTTTTCTTTGGACTCTGAAAAAGTCTTCACCTTTAAGTGGTCTTTATACCTGAGGAGAGGCATGAACTTATGCTGTTGTTTGTAGGTCTATATTGATTGGTCTCCTGAAAGAAGATCAGAGAACCTCAACTGCAAAGTAGCGCTTATTTGGATTCTCAAAGCTTCCTCCTTTCTGTAAAATTCCCTGATTCATCCAGACTGGGTACTCTTCCTTCAATATTTCCTCTGCCTTTTGCACCTTGCTAAGGGGTAGTAAGACTGAACCTAATTTTGTATATTATTTTATATTCTTTTTCTTAAGAAGTCCTCCCCCTCCCTGCAACTGTATAAGATTTAGGTTCCAGGAAATCTGGATCCATCCCTTCATATACCTTCAAAATAGTAAATATCATATTTTCCTCTGATTATTTATTCATGGTTTTTGGATTTCTATACCTAGCACAGTGTTTGCCACATAGTAACTGCTCAATAAATATGCAATACAAGTTTTCAGAAATTTTATCTGTAGGTCTTTCTATGTCATTGGGCATTTATTATTAGTGACATTAAGAATTCAAAGTAAGGCCAGGCCTGGTGGAGCACACCTGTAATCCCAGCAGCTCAGGAGGCTGAGGCAGGAGGATTTAGAGTTCAAATCCAGCTTCAGCAACAGCAAAGCGCTAAGCAACTCAGTGAAACCCTGTCTCTAAATAAAATACAAAATAGGGCTAGGGATGTGGCTCAGTGGCCGAAAGCCTGAGTTCAATTCCCAGTACCAAAAAAAAAAAAAAAAGAATTCAAATTAAGGCATACAAGTCTACTAAAAGGAAGTTGATTGGCCCATCCCAAGATATTACATCTGTCCTTCAGCAACTTTTCTCAATCCAGGTTACCTTTCCTTTGCATACAGGACAGAAAACTGCCCTTGCTTCACTAGGATAAGCAAATTGTCCCACAGACACATAAAATTGGCAGGAATCCTAGAGTCAGTGCCTACTTGAGGTTAGCTCTCCTAAGATATCTTTTTTTTTTTCCCAAGAAGGATAACATTTTAATCCAACAGTATGTGTTTATTGTTGAAAACATGGAAAGAGAATAACACTATAAGCCCACCACCCAGAGAAATAATTTACTGCTATACACACACACACACACACACACACACACACACTATATATATATCTGTATCAAATTTTTTTATAACTTTATTTATTTATTTATATGTGGTGCTGAGGATCGAACCCAGGGCCTTGCACATGCGAGGTAAGCACTCTACCGCTGAGCCATAACCCCAGCCTCTCAATTTTTTTTTTTTTCGGGGGGGGGGGGGTTGGTACAGGGAATTGCATCCAGGGGTGGTCTGCCAATGAACTCTATCCCGGCACTTTTTATTTTTTTGAGACAGGGTCTCACTAAGTTTGCCCAGGTTGGCCTCAAATTTGGGATCCTCTTTTCTCAGTCTCCCCACTCGCTGGAATTACAGGCATGCTTCACTGCCACCGCGCCCGTCTTCAATATTTTTTAAAAAAGAACTCATTTACACACATAGCATAATGTGAAAGAACATCCTCCAGTATGCAATAATCAATACTCAACTTCCAGTCTGAAACTTAATTTTGAAAAGCTTTTAATAAAATTGATTTGTAATCTCTGATAGAAAGTGTTAACTATCAGCTATGGCGCATGCATGCCAGTATTTCCAGAGACTGGGGAGGGTAAGGCAGGTTTGAGGCCAGTCTCGGCAACTTAGACTTCCGTTCCAAAAAAAAAAAAAAAAAAAAAAAAAATGGCCAGGCGTGTGGCTCAGCAGTGAAGCGCCCCTGGGTTCAATCTCCATCACTACCAAAACAAAAAACAAAACACAGTGAAGTATCTTGTTCTAGTGCACAAAGACTGGAGTTATTTATACCTAAGTAATTATAATTTTGTAATGTGTCACACAAATGCAATATAATGCGCATAGATATAATATAA